AATCTAAAATAATTTGCTATTTTGATTCCTCAGAGAACTACTAATAAAAATCTAAAAGTTATATTTAAAAAAACAAAAAGCTCCAGTAGTAGATCCAGCACCCTCTTCTGACCTCCTTGGGCACTGCACGACACAGGTGCACCTACAAACATGCAGGCAATACACTCATACACATGAAATAAAAAAATAAAAGCCAGAGTAGTGGCACACACCTTTAATCCTAGCTCTTGGGAGGCAGAGGCAGGTAGATCTCTGAGTTCCAGAGTTCTAGGACAGCTGGGGTACAGGGAGACCTTGTCTCAAAAAAGACTAAAAAAATAAATTTCTAAAGAGAGCTGGTAAGATGGCTCAGTGCGTAAAGCACTTGCTATGCAAGACTGATGACCTGAGTTTGATTCCCAGAACCCACAGTGGAGGGAGAGAACTGACTCTAAAAAGACGTCCTCTGATCTGTGTAATGCTCCCCCACACATGTACTACAGGCACCCCCCACACACACACAAACTTGAAAAGAAGGGAAACCCAAAACCTATCCAAAGACAAAATCCCTACAGACTATTTCCATGAGGCATTTACTTCTTCATTTATTCCAAGAAACTTCCTCACATCTGTTGAGACAAATGGAGCACCAGTCTGCAGCTTTCCTTAAAGCAGCCCACCTTACTATTTACCTAGAACCACAATGAAGGAAGACACTCAGCTCAAAGAGGAACGTTTCTCTTGCGCAAGGAAGGAAGGGCCAGCTGGCAGGAGCCAGTGCTTTGCTCCCAAGGGTGTATGCAAAGTCCCAGTGCAGTGCTTTATTTTGTGTCCATGGGGATAATACAAGCACGTTGTCATAGGATCTCATTTCTACCCTGTGAATTGTTCATTTTTCAAAGGATCATTTAGCTCCTGTCAATGTTTAGCAGGCCAATGTTTTTATTCTAAAGACTTTTGGACTGTTGTACCCCCTTCTACCACAATAGAACTAAGTACAAAAGTTTCTCATCTTATTCCAAAGGCTGTGATTTTTTTAAGTCAGTTTTTAAAAAGCCAGGCCAGTGAGATGCCTCTGAGGTAAGAGCACTTGCTTTCCGTCTGGAATCCACACTGAGCCTCTGACCTCCACACTCATGCATATCCACACATATGCATGTGTACACGCACAATAAACAAGCACAAATGGTTTTTAAATTTTAATATTTGTAACCCCACATTTATCCATAAACCACTCATTTTTCTCCCACAGTATCACAGGGAGAAACCAACAACTTCCACGTGGAATACTGCAGTAACTTCCTATCAGCCATTTTCTTCATTCTCAGACCCACTCTCACAGCAGCCATTTGTTGTTCCTGGGGGCCAGTGAGATGGCTGGGTAGGAATATGTACCCCTCTTGCAGAGGACCTGAGTTCAGTTCCCAGTGACCACATGGTGGCTAACAACCATCTGTAGTCCCAGTTCCAGGGACTCCAATACCCTCTTCTGGCCTCTGTGGGGCATTGCACACACGTGGTGCACTTACATACATACAGGCAAAAACACTCCTGCCCAGATAGTAGTAACCCAGCTTAGAACTGGGAAAATGAACAGCAGACCCCAATCTTATCCAAAGGAATATTGACAACTGATTACCACTAGATGAGGAACAGCTGACCCTCCTAAAACAAAGACCTCTAGATAGGCTGACTAGATTCACCAGAAGGGCAAGTAGTGGGGAATGGCTGTGGGTGCCGACTACACAGCAGACAGTAGCAGGGATATCAGAGTATTAGGGCTCTAGTGGGGGGAGGGAGGCTATGGGAGGGTGCCATCTGGGAAGTGGGTATAAAAAATATATATAAATAAAAAATAAAAAAATAAAACAAAAATGTTTAAAAATATATATATACGGGGGCTAGAAAGATGGCTCAGTAGTTAAGAGCACTGGCTGTTCTTGCAGAGACCTGGGTTCAATTCCCAGCACCCACATTGCAGCTACCGATCATCCATAACTCCAACTCCAGGGGATCTGATGCCCTCTCTGGCTTCTAAGGGCACTGCATGCACATGGTGCACTTACATACATGCAGGCAAAACACTCAAACACATAAAATAAAAATGAGGCTTTTTTTAATGTACATGGAATCACTTCTCATTACACCTGCATGAAAATGCCCGACATGACTCACGAAGCCCTGCCAGCACCCCCTGGACAAGCCTACCTCCCCAGATTTCCTCAAGCATCTCAAGACTTGCCACAATCCTTGGGTCTTCCATTTGGTGTTTCTCTGTCCTCGAGTGACTCCTCCACCTCCCACCCCCACCTCCATGTAAACTCCTGCCTATCTTCCTCCACGACTCAAGTAGCACCTCTACTGAAGCACTTCCAACTCCAACCTACACCCAGTTAGGTCTCCCTTTTACTCTCATTCTGTCCTGTATCTTTCCACCTTGTCCTTTAGCAGTTAGTAACAATATGTTTTTGTTTAGCATCTGGCTTTTTCCATCACCCACGCTCCTGATATGATGGCAGGACTTACGTTTTCATTCATCACAGTGCCTCCAGTGCTTAGCACCAAGGCCACCATATTGGTAGAACTCAGTATCTGCCACAACGAAGAAGTCTGATTTGGTGGAAAAGCACAGATGTGGCTACTCTCCTGGCTCCTCAACTGAATCAGGATTTGAAATTAAGTACAGCAGACTTCATCTGCCTTTGCCAAATTGGCTCAGCTGGGAGAACATTAGACTGAAAATGAGGTCTATCGGCCAAAGAACCCTCAGGACCTGCCTCTACACTTTCACATTACAACAAACCTGCATCACAGTCTCTTGCTTATCTAGGTGATCTAAAGCCATTCTTCCACAAGCTGTACAAAAAGAACTAAGCTTTCTGTCCCCATTTTCTACTTAGGCCAAGACTCCAGCACAGAAATCTAAGTTAAATTCATGGTTCAGAGAGTACTTGAGTGAAGCCAGGCATCCAGCCATGGTGGTGCTAGTTTATAATCCCCCTCAATCAGGAGTATGAGGCTGGAAGAATGAAGTTAAAGGCCAGTCTTGAGAAACAATGAGGTTCCCCCTCCAAAAAAGGGGAGAGAGTTAGGCATGGTGGTGCATGCCTTTAATCCAAGTGCTCTGGAGGCAGAGGCAGGTGGGAGCTCTATGAGTTCTAGGCCAGCCTGACCAACATACAGAGTTCTAGGCCAGCTGGGGCCACAAAGACCCTGTCTCAAAAACAAAACTATTTTTTACTTGAATGACTATGAAGGAAAACATGGGAAATATGTAAGGAAAATTAGTATTTCCGTAGCATCTTATCACAATCACATGGTATATCTAGTCACCTATTAGTCTTTAAGGCAAATTTAATTGTCATCAAGAAAAGTTTTCTCAGCCAACTCCAGTTTCGAATAATGGAATTCTTGGCAAAACTTCTGTCACGGCTGCTGTTGGTCTAAAAGAGAGAAAGGGTAAGACAATCTAAAGAGGTCAGGAACTTCTCTCCAGTCCCTGGCAGAGATAAGCTATGTAGGTCTAAGGAAGTGAGGATGGAGAACCTACGTGGCCAATTCAGCGTTCCAACCCTTTTCAATCCCTGGGAAGAATTATCTCCATATAGAAAACTGAGGACCCAGAGGAGATAGATGACAACAGGAAATTAATGCTAAAATGCCTAGAAACATTTAATATTTTAAAAAACAGTACACACTATACCTATGTAGAAACACAAAGTACCCAGTTTGCAAAAAATGAAAGCCTGGCCAGCCATACGGGATGAAATGTAAAACTGGCTTCAATGGGGGTCCCACAGCTTTGTGACCACAATAAAAATCACCTGAGGACTGGGCACCTAATTTGGTTGGAAAATGTTTGCCTAGCTTGCAGGAAGACCTGGGTTCGACCCCCATCAGTGCATAAAACTGGGCATGATAGTGTACACTTGGAAGGCCAAAGCAGGAAAATCAAGAGTTCAAGGTCATTCTCAGAGAACTGAGTTCCGGGCCAGCCTGGGCTACAGGAAAGCTCCTGCAGAAGGCTGATAAAAACCAGGGATGAAGAGATGAGCCTCAGAGCTGAGATTGTGAACCTAAAAATAAGATCTTATGCCAAGGTTTTCTTCAAATGGAAGACAGCAGATTACACAGTTATCTCTGTAACACACGTGTAATCCCAACACTTGGGAGCTGGAGGCGAGATTACGAATTCGAGGCCACCCTGGGCAGATAGGGAGACCCTATCTTTAAAAAAGGAAATAAGCGCTATCTATATTCAAAGGACAGGCCTTCTTTGAGTCACCTTTTATGGAGATTTGTCTATACTGGCCCCACAGCTTGGTGTAAGTTCTAGAAGCCCAAGTGAGCCCTTGAGTCATGCATTAACACTTGGGGCCAACACCCGGCTGCAATTCATTAGCATAAAAGAGCAACCATTCTAAGGTAAGCTAACTGGGCACGGAATGACCCAACATACTCGGATCCTCAAACGACCGGGTGGGTTAAAGGACATGAAAAAAAGGCATGATTGTTATTAAGTCCTTTCTGTTCCGTACCCTCGCCACCCCGACCTCAAGATGCCAGGGAGAAAAGGGAATCGAGCCTAGGCTGCTCAGGCTCCATCTTCCGGCCGCCGCCCCGCCCCCACTCACGTGGGCCTCTGACCGCTTGTCTCGCGGCCGACCCTCGCCCCAACGTTTTCAAGTTAACTTTTAGAAAACGCCGGGTGTGTGCTAAGCTTCGGACTGGGCTCCAGGAACCTCTGCCATGCCTAGGCCTGGCCTCAGACCCTACCAAAAAGAGCTAAAAGCAAACCTCTCGGCCCATCCCAAGACCGCGGCCTGACCACCTCCAGGTCCCACTCGTGCCCGCGCTCGGCAGGACAGAGTACCGGCTCCCAGCCTTCCTTTGGCCCGCGAGAAGGGCCTCACGCTCGCTGCAGGAGGGCACTCGGGGCCAGTGCCCTGCCGCAGCGGACCGCCGGGCTGCAGCGGCGCCAGGTCACCAGGCCGGGGCACACCGGCCCGGCCCGCACTTACGGCGTGCAGCGGTCGCTGTACTCATTCGCAATCGTCTCGATACCGCCCGCGCGGGCCACCGCGACGTAGCAGCTCTGGAAGCCCAGGTCTATGCCCACCACCGACATGGCGCCGGGACTGCTCGGGCTCGGGCCCGGCCGCCGACACCACACGGAACCCGGGGGGCAGGCGCGCGCAGAGAGAGCGGCGAGGGCTGTGGGGACCGCTGGGACGCGGGGAAGGCCGGGGACGGTCCACGCGGGCGCCTAGGTGCTGCGCGGCTCGGCCGGCTCGGGGCCGCAGAGGAGGCGCCGGTAGCGGGGGCGGAGAAGATCTCGAAGGATCTCGTTGCGACGGGAGCAAAGATGCAGCGCGAGAATTGCGCAGGACCGGACGTTCTCGCGAGAACGCAGCTCGGCCGCTTTTCCTGCGGAGGCGTGACGTCATGTCCTGGCTCGGGAAGCCGACGCGGAACTGGGGGTGGCATCGGGGGAGGAGCTATCAACTGAGCCGGCGCAGAGGCGTCTCCTTTCAGGGGCCGCGGTGCGCAGCGGGGCCCCTCCCTTTCAGGAAAAAAGTTGGCGAGCAAGCTACAGGCACGGTGGACCTACTTCCGCTGTGCAGTGTCATCGCGTAGGCACTTCCGGTGGTGGCTGTGTGGGTAGTCCGAGGTCAGCTCGGTCCGCACAGTGAGAATGGGAGCTCGTCGTCCCGGTGCACAGGTTCCTCTGTGCCAGGTTGGCCGGGGAGGCTCAGTGTTGGAGAAAAAAGGAATCCACTTGTCCAGCATGGTCACATGGCCGTTCCGTCACAGACGTGTTCCAAGCTCCGGTCCGGTGATAGTTCCTGAGCAGGACGCAAGGGGCATAAATAACACGCTCCCTGGGCTGGAAGAGCTAAGACCAAGTGGCAAATTTATATAAGCTAACATGTATGTATTTTTTATTTTACACATTTTTTTTGGACATAAGGTCTCATGTTGTCCAGGCTAAATTTATCTATATAATCGAGGATGACCTTGAAATTCTAATGCCTTCCCTAGTGCTGGAATAATAGGCTTGTCCCACCACACCTGGTTAAGCCAAAGAATCTTAAACTCCGGGCTGGAGAGACGGCTCAGCGGTTAAGAGCGCTGGCTGCTCTTGCAGAGGACCGGAGTTCGGTTCCCAGCACCCACATGGCAGCTAACAGCCATCTGGAACTCCAGTTCCAGCGGATCCGACGCCCTCTTCTGACCTCCGTAGGTATTGCATGACATAGGTGCACTTACATACATATAGGCAATACACTCATACACGTAAAATAATTTTTTTTTTAAGAGTGCTTGCTGTGCAACCATAAAGCCTGGAGTCTGGACCCAGTACCCACAGGTGGTCATGGTCTTACACTTGTCTGTAACCCCAGTACCTAGCAGGGTAGAGACAAGAGGATCACTTGGGGGAGGGGGGTTGTGTTCCTAACTGCCAGCTGAGTCCAAAAAATTCGAAGCTCCAGGTTCAAAAGAGACTGCCTCAAAGAGTAAGGAAAATAGTAGAGGACACCTGTCACCCTCCTCTAGCCTCTGCACGTGCACAGGTGCCCTTGCATATCACGTACCACGCACACACATCCTGGATTATCCCATCAGAGAGTATCTAAACAAAAAGGACCCTAGTAAAGGATGATATGCACTGAATGATGGAGTCTGGGGAGACCTGCTCAGAAAAGAGAAAGGCTATGTTGAAGTTGTCAGGCACAATGGATACTGTGTGGTTTGAAGACTGCAGTTTCTCGGGGTTTGTTCTTGTTTGTGGGTTGTTGGTTTGTTTGGTTTTGTTTTTCTGTTGTTGTTGTGGGTTTGTTTGGGGGGGGGGTGGTTTTGTTTGTTTTTTGGGGTTTTTTGGGGGGGGGGGTTGTTTTTTTTTTGTTTTTTTTTTTTTTTTTTTTTTTTTTTTTTTTTGGAGACATGGTCTCTTCCACCCCAGCTGGCCTGGATCTCACCATGTAGACCATGCTGACCTCAATCTCACAGAAATCCACCAGCCTCTGCATCCCGAGTGCTGGAATTAAAAGTGGGCAAGACTACAGTTTTTAAATTTTATTACATTTATTTGTTTGTGTGTTGATTCTCTCCTTCCACAATGATGTGGATTCTTGGGATTGAACTCAGGTTGTCAGGCAACAAGTGCCTTAACCTTTTAAGCATTCTCACAGTTCTCTACAATAAGTTTAAAGATTTTTTTTTTTCTGTCTTTTTAAAGCAGGGTCTCCCTGTAGCCCCAGCTGTCCTGGAACTCACTATGTAGACCAGGCTGGTCTTGAACTCAGAGATCCACCTGCTTCTGCCTCCCAAGTGCTGGGTCTACAAGCATGTGCCACCACACCCGGCTAGATTTTATTTTTTAATCATGTTTATATATGGGTGTGTGCACATGTGTGCAGTGCCCATAAAGGGCATAAGAGGGCATTGTAACCCCTGGAGCTGGGGTTGCAGGTGCTTGTGAGAGCCCCAACATGAGTGCTATGAAACAGGTCCTTTGCAAGAACAGCATGTGCTCCTAACCACATAAGCCATCTCTCCAACACAGCAGTAAGATTTGTGTTGCTAGAGGACAGAGCTAAGTTAGACAATGGCCTCTGGACCAGCCGAAAAGCAGATGTAAAAGAATAAAATGTATTGCTGCCCCTCTAAAGGAGGAGCAGCTGAATTTCTTGCTCTGTAGCAGAGGAGTGCCAAAACCCAGGTTGTTTGCCTCTAAATTTGCAAATTGCCAGAAGGTTCTCACATTTGAGCTAAAGACAAGTAGCAGATGCTACCTGGAAAGGGTGGTAAGGAGAAGTGAGGGGCAGGAACAAGGAAAAGCCTGTAGACAAGAAGGAAACAAGCTGGGTATAATAGCCCACACCTGTAATCCCTGTTCTTGAAAGGCTGAGGCAGGAGCTGCTCAAGGCCAACCTCACCTATATTGAATTAAAGGTCAGCCTGGACTATGTGAAACCCTGTCTTAAAAGAGACTTTAGCCGAGCGTGGTGGCAATACCTTTAATCCCAGCACTTAGGAGGCAGAGGCAGGCGGATCTCTGTGCATTCAAGGCCAGCCTGGTCTACATAGTTCCAGGACAGCTGGGGCTACAAGGAGACCTGTCTCAAAAAGACGAGAGAGAGAGAGAGAGAGAGAGAGAGACTTTAATCCCAGCACTCAGGAGGTAGAGGCAGGCAGGTCTGTGTGTCTCAAAAAGACCAGAGAGAGAGAGAGAACAAAAAAGTGTTATTTGTACACCATGTTCATAACAGCTTATTCAAAATAGCCAAAGGGAGCGAGGCATGGTGGTCCATGACTATTTCCCATACTCAGGAGGTAGAGGCAGGAGGATCAGGCCAGCCTAGGGTGCAGAGTACGTTTGGGACCAACTTGGACTACACAGACGTCTCAAAAGAAAGCGATAGACAAGAGATGGAAACAACCCAAAAGTCCATTAATGGCAGAATTTTTTTTTTTTTAAATTCAACATAGGACTTTGGACAGTTGATGGATCTTTTTTTTCCCTTCAGATTTTTGAGACAGGGTCTCCCTGTACCTCCAGCTGGCCTGGAACTCCTTATGTAGAACAGGCTGGACTCAATCTCACAGAGATTTGCCTGCCAAGTGCTGGGATTAAAGGAACATCCCATTGCACCCTCCTATAATGAGGGGATTTTTGAGTGTTCCATATGCACTTAAATACAATTAAATATGCAGCCTTAAAAAATAATGAAACTGGGGCTAGAGAATGGCTCAGCAGTTAAGAGCACTGGCTGCTCCTGCAGAGGACCCAGATTCAGTTCCCAGGACCCACATGACAGCTAACAATCAGCTATAATTCTAGTTCCAGGAAATCTGATGCCCTCTTCTGGCCTCCACAAACGTTGTACACATGGATGCACTTACATGTGAGAAAAACATTCATACACATAAAAATACATAAATAAATAATAAAAAAAATTAAAAAGTAATTAAACTGATGCATGCTACAACATAGGTGAACACTAAACACATGTTAAGTGAAGGAAGCCAAACTCAGTTGAACAAACTGAGTCCACTCGTGAAGCACCTAGAATGGGCAAGCACATATAGCCAAATGGAATACTTGCTGGTTACCTAGGACTTGTGGGTAGAGAGCAGTAGTGAGTTATTGTGTCAGGACAGAGTTTCTGTTATGATGAAAAAAAATTAGTGGTAGTGGTGATTGTACAACCACATGGATACACTTGGTGACACTGCTTTGAAAACCTAAAAATTGGGGGGTGGGGACAGGGTCTCATGCACCTCAGGTTGGCTTTGAGCTCTCTATGTAACTCAAGATGACCTTGAACTTCTGTCCTCCTGCCTCTCTAACCCTCCAGTGCTGAGATTATAGGAGAATGCCACTGTGCCTGGTTCACTTGGTGATAGGGATAGAACTAGTATGTGCTAGACAAGCATTTTACCTGCTGAGCTCATCCCCAACTCCAAAATGGTAAATTTCACATTACATACTTTTTTAAAAAACACAATTTTTAGAAGTTTAATGAAGTACAACTAAGTGTGGTGTCACACACCTATAGTCACAGCTACTTGGAAAGATTTTTTAAAAAGGATCACTTGAAAGTCAGATAATGCACACAGCTGTAATCTTGACACATGGAAAGTGGAAGGAGGAGGATGAGGAGGATTTCAGAGTCAGCCTCTGCTATGTCACAAGTTAAAGGTCAGCCTGATTCTCAGGAGACCCTGTCTTGTTTGTTTTGGGGTGTAGGGTTTCATTACGTAGTCCTGACTTGGAACTCACTATGTAGACCACACTGGCCTTGAACTCACAGATCTGCCTGCCTCTGCCTCCCGAGTGCTTGGTTTATAGACATGTACCACCATGCCTTGCAAGACCTTGTCTTAAAACAGAATCTCTTGGGCCCAAGAGTTCAATACTAACCTAGATAACATAGCAAGACACATTTCCAAAAATAAGCTAATCTTTTTTGAGGTTGTCCTTGACCTTCTGCTCTCCAAATTGTCTCCTTCCTATAGGAAGAGATACATAATCCCAATGACAACATTGGCTTTATTTGTGACAGAGTCCTGTCCCATCTGTTTGAGTTATTAAGTGCTGGCAGAGTCCAGCCTGCCTAGCCCAACTTACTGTCTTGC